AAGTTTTATTGGTTCAGGTTTCAATTGATGATAACTTACTTTGAGTGACGAAGGATCGTAAGAATTGCAAACACACGGCCCATTTTTTACCTTTGAATCGCTGTTTTTCCACTTCACAAAACTTCCTCTTCCCAACTGCAATCAGTATTTCGTTGTTTTGTGATGGAATATATCAATTTAGCCATTAGTAAAACCTGAAGAGGTTTTGAGCCTGTAGGTTGCTCCCAGCAATACTGCTGCAACTTTCTGTTGTAATATAAACCATTATAATATGTATTCGGAACTTCTGACCCAGTGTTATATAGCATTTCTGGAAAGGTTTCAACATAATTTGCTCTCTAGCAGTTCCTTTGTTACAGACAGGTGCGAAACAATGGAAGACTTACGTGCAATGAAGTTATGCTTCGAATCCGCGAGCTCGCTAGCGAGATAGCTTCTTCCGTGATCCATCTTGGAGCACTCACTCTTCGCTAACATCCAGTTCACTTTTTCCTCACCTAAGGCCTACTGCTTTACCATTAAGATGATTTTCTTTAGAAAGCAAGGATTACCTATTTTCAGACATACTCCATATTTTTTTACTGCGCTTCCCGTGTTTTCGGTGTATTGCACCCAACCATTTTTGCAGAAACAATTAACTAGAAACTTTGACATCATCGTAGATGTTCCAAAAAGGCCGTAATTAGCTTACCTTCACATAGCGAACTTTGTATTTTATTAGCTAATTCATGCACTTTGCTATCGTAGTAGTATCCCGGAGTTGCAATCTGAATTTCCTAGTTCATAAAATAAGTTCATAAATGACATAACACGCACAACAGAATCAATAGAAAAGCGACAAAATGCTAAGAATATGCGCGTTTCACCTCGCTCATCCTTTCCAGATTTTTTGACCTCCCTCCTTGATCAAAGCCAATGACGATGATGTTAGTTCCATTGACTTTAATCTCTTCTGCTACCTCTTTGGCATCGTTGAAATGACCGTCCCTGAGTTTCAAGGAGATCAACGCTTGAGCTATGTGAGTGATATGAAATCAGAATCCAACCTATAATCACTAGCGTAGACAATAATAACAGATTTTACATTGCTTCTTAGACCGTTCTGGCGACCTGCCCACAGAACATCCTTAGATCTCGATAGTGCTCTAGAATGGATATGTTTAGCCAAAAAATTCAGTTGCTGGAACTTCCTCAAGGTTTTGGTCTTCATCATCATAGCTTCCGCCTTGCAGTTCCATTGCAAAAGCCATATATATA